AAACCTGGATATCTGAACGCACTGTTTATTATTTCAGGAAAATAGTTAAAACATTCTGGGTTTCTAAATCAAAAATAGTTTCAGTTCTCAGCTTGATTAAAGCTGTCAGAAACACCTCAATGGGGTTTTAGCTTGTAAGGAGCACATTTTGTTTTCAGTCATCATTAGTAAAGGTCAGATTTTCCAATTTTCTAAGCTTTATAAATAATCCTGAAACCTAATCAGCAGGCAATGGACTGTTCTCAGTAGCTGTCAAATTCCTTGAAAAATGTTGCAGTTGAGGCTGACAAAGCAGGTAAAATATGTCTTCATTTCATGTGATGTAATCTAAAATGAAAGCTAACGGGAACAGAGGAGGTCGAAATCAAGTAACCAGAAATTTCAAAATAAGAGTATTGATACTTGTTGATGTGAGTCACATAATTATCAGTAGGATTTGCAAATTTGTTCTATTGAGATGTTATAATGGTATGAATCTTATATTTGGGGAAAGGGGACAAAGAGAGTTAAAAAAATCAATGCTTTAATTTATCCTGGTCCAATAAAAGGTCACAAGAGGATAAAGGCCACTACTAAACATTGGTTATTTAAGAAATAAATTAGTACATTTAATGATACAAGTCAGGGGTTGACGTTAAGGATTTTTACCACTTGCCTAAAGGGCAAGTGGCTTTCACATTTCATTTGCCCAGAAAACATTTTTACTTGCCCAGTATAATGTTTGATAAATATTGTTCCTAATATTCATTTATATATATATATATATATCAATGAAACATGTAATTCAGTAAGTTTCCAGGTTCCTGGTGTGTATCTGCATGCGTCAGATAATGAACTCAAGCCTACATTACCGTGTTAACATGCTTTTCAACCCTTCCTGCACATTCTTTTCAAACTAAACTTTAAACTAAACTTTAAAATATAAATTGTAATGTTAAAAATATAAAACAAAAACTTGACAGGTTAAAAACTTACACTACTACTACTCACTAATTTTGCATGTATAGCTCTATAACATTTAAATGCACCACTCCAATGTCTAAGAGAAAAAAAATTAATGAAAATTTTTTAATGTATGACCTGCATCACTGCACAGAAGACTGCCATATGATAGAAATATTTACACTGCGCATACAATTATTATTATTTTCCTAATCCCTGACTGATCATTTTTAATCTAGCTTGTATTATATGCTCCGTTGGAATTCCTGGGACGCGTCCTTAGAAGGCCAGATTCGAAGGACGATTACGGTCCTCGTTATGCGACCTTAAAATGCGTCTTTCTTTTTGCCCGATTTGAAGGACGGGTCCGATGTATCCTCGTTATCCTTGGTTTACCCAGGAGTCATTGCAAGACCAAGCAAGCCGTGATTTTTCTATTTCTTGTCTTCGAAAGTTAGCTAAAGAATGAATGGATACTTATTTATTTTGAAGAATTATTATCAGGAATTCAAGCTTGATCTCAATATGTCTTCAGGTCAGCCCCTCTGCTATGATGATTATAGAGGTAAAGGGTTAACTCTAACAAAAAAAAAAAACACAACCCTCCAGCTTGACTATGCATCATAGAAAACAGGTGAGCCACACTCATCTCTCCTATGCCCAACTCTATAGAGATGATTAGAAATACAAAAAAGGGTTACCTTTACAGCTAAACAGCCACTAGTTCACCAATAGAAGAAGAACTAAATATTAATGTGGCGAAAGCAAAGTTTAAAAAGCAT